GCCAGAAGTGGCGCTGTGGCTCAAGTGGTAGAGCGCTAGCCTTGAGCTGAAGAGCTGAGGGACAGCGCCCAGGCCCAGAGTTCAGGCCCCATGACTGGATCCAAAAAAAAAAAAAAAGAATCTCATGGAGCCGCCAGGGCTTGTGGCTCACCCCTGTAATCCTAGCTACTCAGTCCATGATACTCTTATCTCCAATTAACCACCAGAAAACCGGAAGTGGCGCTGTGGCTCAAGAGGTAGAGTGCTAGCCTTGAGCTGAAGAGCTCTGGAACAGTGCCCAGGCCCAGAGTTCAAGCCCCACCACCACCAACAACAAAAAGAATCTTATGGGCTTTCCTGCCCAGGCTGCCCTCAAACTACAGTCCTCAGATCTCAGCCTCTTGAGTAGCTAGGATTACAAGTGTGACCCATGGGCATCTGACCCATTGGCTTTTGGCACACCCCCATTTTCTAGACAGAAGATATGGTTGGCTGGAGCCAGCTGTCTTCATAATATCCCTGGGTGCTGGAGATGTCTTAAAGATCAGAGTAGAAGCAGTTCACAGGCCGTATGTTTCTTTATAAGTTTAGAACAGGAGTTCTGGGGCTGGCCCTGACCAATCGATCAGCAAGCCTCACCTGAGAGGAACAGAAACTCCACGCAGCCTCTAGAGGGGAGAGGCCTGGCCATCAGCATGTCATCAAGCCTCTCCAGGATACCCACACACACCCAAAGGTGAAAAACCACTGCTTTAAGAGAAAGATGTCAGTGTGAAAGAGAAGAACAAATGAAGGCAGTTTCTCTTGTAAGGACTGTGCTCCCAGCTTCGGGGTGGTGCTCCTGGAAAGCCAAGAGAGTGGACACTGAGCTCATCAGCCTACAAGAGATTGCTGCAGGCCACCTGCAGCTTGGACAGTGGAGCCAACAGAGAGAGGTAAACCCAGGGGAAAGACTGCCCCCCCCTTCCCCAAGGAGCTGATAATCCTCTTACATGAAAGCTCTTCACCTAAATGTTGGAACTGAATTTGAACAGCTATTGGATTTTTAAAACCAGCCTTCGTCCTCCAACTTATCCACTTTGAGCACACAATGCAATGTGTTGTTTTGGTGTAGTCATGGGGTTACGCAATGGTCAGAGCTAATTTTAGAACATTTTTGTTCACTCTGAAAGAAAAACCCCCACATGCATGAGCTGTCAATCTCCCGTGCCCTCCCCAACCCTCCCTCCAAAAGCCATTTGCCCCTCTGCTTCTTGTCTCTAGGGGTTTGTCTTTTGTGCACTTTTCATAGGAATGAAATTATATAATGTGTGCCTGATTTGTTTCACTTAATGCAACATTTCCAAGTTTTACCCGCATGATAATACTCCATCTCTTCTTATAGACATAGCAATATTCCACACCATGCATGGATGTACTATGTTGCATTGATCTCTAGGCAAATATTGGTTGGTTTCCACTATTTTGCATAACAATGCAATAAACACTTGTATACCATCTCAGGAAGGGTTGTTTTTATTTCTCTTGGGAGAAATCTCTAGGAGTTGAGTCACTGGGTGATATGTTTACCTTATGCTTAAACTTTTGAGGAACTGCCAAGCTGATGATATTCTACATCGCTTGCACTGTTTTTGTTTTGTTTTGTTTTGTTTTACATTTACATTGACTTACAAGAGCTCCAGGTTGTCCCCATCCTCACTAATACTAGCTGTCATCTGTCTTTGCTCTAGTGGAATCTCCCGGGAGCTTTGACTTGCATTGTCTGGATGACAAGATATTGACCAATCATCTTATCATGCACATATTGGCTATTGATATATCTTCTCTGAAGAAATGTCTGTTTAGGATGACAAGCTTCATCCTAGCTTCTCAGGAGGCTGAGATTTGAGGATCTTGCTTCAAAGCCAGCCAGGGCTGAAAAGTCCATGAGATTTTTTTTTTTTTTTTTTTTTTGTCTGTCGTGGGGCTTGAACTCTGGGCCTGGGCACTGTCCCTCAGCTCTTCAGCTCAAGGCGAGCGCTCTACCACTTGAGCTACAGCGCCACTTCCGGTTTTCTGGTGGTTTATTGGAGATAGGAGTCTCACGGTCTCTCCTGCCCGGGCTGGCTTTGAACCGCGATCCTCAGATCTCAGCCTCCTGAGTAGCTAGGATTACAGGCGTGAGCCACCAGCGCCCGGCTCCATGAGATTCTTATCTCTAATTAACTACTCTGAAAAAACCAAAGTGATACTGTGGCTCAAGTAATAGAGCGCTAGTCTTGAGCACCAAAAGGCTCGGGGATAGCACCAAAGCTCTGAATTCAAGCGCCAGGGCCAGGAAAAAAAAAGGAAAGAAAAAAAAATATCTGTTTAAGCTGGGCACAGGTGGCTCACAGCTGTAATCCTAGCTACTCAAGAGGCTGAGATCTGAGGATCCCGGTTCAAAGCCACCCTGTACAGGAAAGTCCATGAGACTCTTATCAGAAGTACTGCTGTGGCTCAAGTGGTAGAGCACTCACCTTGAGCTGAAGAGTTGAGGGACAGTGCTCAGGCCCAGAGTTCAAGCCCCATGACCCACAAAAAGTCTGTTTAAATCCTTTGGGTGTTCTAAATTTGGAGAATTGCTTTTGTTTGTATGTGTGAGATGGGCCTGGAGCTTGAATTTATGGCTGAGCACTGTCCCTGAGATTTTTTTCCTCCAGGTTAGCACTCTAACACATGAGCCACAGCTCCATTTCTCACATTTTACTAGTTAATTGGAGATAAGAGTCTAACAGACTTTTCCTATCCAGGCTGGCTTAGAACCATGCTCCTCAGATCTCAGCCTCCAGAGAAGTTAGGATTACAGGCATGAGCCACCATGCTGAGTTTCTTTTACTTAACATAGATAATTTTCCCAATTTATGTCGACAGACCCTTGGTTCCAGGATGACAATACCGGGTCCAACTTGTTCTACCATAAAAGCCCAGTGCCAACAACAGTACACAGCAGGCGCTTCATAAACAACACTTCCCGATGATGATGATAATAATAGTAATAGGACTGGGAAGGTGGCTCAGCGGTAGAGCGCTTGCCTTGCATGCATGAGGCCCTGGGTTCGATGCCTCAGCACCACATAAGCAGAAAAAGCCAGAAGTGGTGCTGTGGCTCTAGCCTTGAGCTGAAGAGCTAAGGGACAGTGCCCAGGCCCAGAGTTCAGGCTCCATGATCAACATAATAACAACAACAATTATTATTATTATTATTATTATAAAAGCTACTGTAGCCTCTATTTGTCACAGCAACCTGGTTTTTGAGAGATTGCTAGCATTAATAAATCCCTACAAATAAACATTCAGAGAAGCACCAGAAAGCCCAAGACATACTCTAGTATCTCCACTGCCATTTCCCAGGCTGGTGCACCCCCAAAGGTACTCCCAGGGGAGTCCCGGCGACCACAGGGGGAAGCTGCACAGTCTCTAAACAGAAGGGTCATCCCCGCCCCCCCCACCCCTTCCCAGGCAGTTTGCTGGGCCCTCCTCCTCTTCCCCCTCCTCCCCCTTCCTCCTCTTCCTCCCCCTCCT